TAAGTAGTAGTTAATGGCTGGCCTGAACAGACATGCAAGAAGCATGCATGTACTGTGTACACACACACACACACACACAGAGTATCCATCCCATATCCATGCAAAAAAACTCTGCTGCTCTTAAATTGTTGATTCTGATTTGGTTGTGAAGACTTTTTGTTTTATTCCTGAACAAATATATTCAGGTAAGTTCAAGCCAACACCGTGTTAACAGCTGAAAGCTGAAGGTGTAGACTCTCAACAGCTTGACAAATGTGGGTTTTATGACAATCAAACAGAGATACTCTATCTGTGCCGGGCACCAGAGAAAAGAAAATCTGTTGTCAAAAATATAGCCAAAGAGTAATGTGTACTGGACAGTTTTGTTTTTTAAAATAACACATCCAGGAGGTTACAGTTTATGTAGTTGCTGTTGAGACTGCTGGTTATTTGGTTCAGTAGTTGACATAATTCAGTGTTGTTTGTTCTTTTGTCAATGAATTCCACTGTATGCAACCAGTGCTTCCCATCCCATTATACAGTATCTCTCTAAGGTCCAAACCATTTGTAGTGTTATATCTTTTAATAGTTTTTATGATGCAACATCTGACTTCAGTTTACAAGCAATACAAGTAACAGACACACACATTTTATTTGCACTTTTTAGTATGTTATTGTAGCTCGAGCATTCAAGCACCTTGTTTCTCTTTGTTAAACTTGAATGTATCATTTTTTTCTGGCATTGTCATGTCATGTGATGTTATTGTATATATTTTATTTTATTTATTTTATTTAAATGTATGTGTGTGTACTTCTAACATGTTTGGTCGGTCAAATAAATGTTGTAAATTCAAATCAGAGCATCTTCCGTGTCTGGAATGGATGTATTCTTGAGTCTATAAGGTAACAATAATATAATAAGATAAACTTGTTTGAAATGGGTTTGGCTAAAAGAAAATTTTGGTTTCGTCTATACTACTAGGTACTTATACTATATTGACTTGGATAAATAGAATTGCATTACTGAAAAGAGACTAAAATACCATTTTCGTCAACTAAAACTAGACTAAATGTCATCAGTTTTCGTCGACTAAAACTAGACTAAAATGCTCAGACTTTTAGTTGACTAAAACTTGACTAGACTAGAAAGAGTATGAACGTAACTAAAACTAATAAAAACGAAAATGACAGCTTCACACAAAGACTAGACTAAAACTAAAATTAAAACAGGCTGCCAAAAACAACACTAGTCCAGTGAACTGCCGTTGTTTGACTCTGGGGATACCAACCCTGTAAGGGGGGTGAACAACCTGCAGTAGTTACTCGACCTGTTCGGAGTAGGCGTGCACCTGCATGGACTCAGGATTATGTGATGTAAAAAGTGCGTAATGCATTACTAGTACACAATATGTGTCTGCACAGTATAAGAAAAGGAATGTTGTTGCTGTTCTATGAATAGTGTTTGAGCACTGTTATGTGCTTATACAAAGTGTTTGAAAATTTGCATTACTGTAACAATATTTGTTCAAAAATGGTTTGTTTGCAAATCATAATGTTGGGATTGGAAGGTTGCAAGAGAGTTGTTTAAAAAAATCTATCAATAGTAACTTGTATCTTAACTTAACTATTTGCACTGAGATCATTGTCCCTGTGGTATGTTTGTTCTTAAGAGAGAGGGCTATGTGGTGTTCTGAGTAAGCCTCTAGAGGGAGCACTTGTATGTGAGAAAAGGATGACAAAGGAGAATGAGAAGGGAGTACATGATGAGAAAAAAAAGAGTTATGCAGAGTTCCAGACACAGAAAGTGTATTTGCTTTTATTTTGAGACACTCAACTATTTGTTTTCTAACACCAGTCAGGAGCAGTGACAATAAAGGCTTTCAATTCAATTCAATTCAATTCAAAAGCTTTATTGAGACATTTAAAGCAGAAAGGCCAAAAAGCAAAGATAACACTTCATGGCTTTCAGATTTTAAAACAAAAATAATAAAATTACTTTTTCCTTATGCAAATACAATCAGCAGACAATAAATGTTGTTGATAAAATGTAAAAAGTAAAGATAATGTATTAATAAAAAGATAACATTTAATAAAGAAGCAAAGCAAAGAAGCATCAGTTTCAAAGCTACATGACAGTATATATTGCATCTGCATTTCCTAAATGCATCATAAGTGTAAGAATAACTAGTCGTTTTAAAAACAACAGTGAAGAAAAAGGTAAAAAATAAATCTCAGTCTCTCTTAAAAGTGTTACAGACACTTCTTCAGATTCCTGAACAAGAACAGTGTTTAAAAAGCTACTTTCCTTCACGAAAGAGTAAGCAAACTACAAGTAATACATATGCATTATAAGACAATTGCACATAATAAGAAAACACAATTAAATAATTTATATCATGAAGCAAAATGATACGCAAGAATACAACTCTCTGAAATTGTTCTTTGGGGAGGGACTCCATCTTTGAGTTGATCTGAATCACACAGTTGAATCTGCTGGTTTTGAAGATGAAGATGAACTTTATTCACTGTGAAACTTTGGATAATGTTTCTTTGTCATGTCACTTGTAATGTCTGGTTAGGACAGATTTATCCAGATGATATTTTATTGCTTTATCAGAATCAGAATCAGAATGAATCAGAATCAGAATGAGCTTTATTGCCAGGTATGTTTACACATACGAGGAATTTGTTTTCGTGACAGAAGCTTCCACAGTGTAACAGAATGACAGTGACAGAACAAAAACACAGATAATAAAAAATAGAACAAGTAAATAAGGAATAAAAATACATAAATCGACAATTGTATGTTCTCCTTTTCCAGTGTGTATTTAGCCTGTTTAATACACGACATTATCCCCCTTCCTGTGAGCATCTTCTTTGGCCTGACGGAGCTGTCTGAGTTTTGCAGTGAACCATGGTTTGTCATTGTTGTAAGTTAAGTGAGTCCTGGTAGGAATGCACATGTCTTCACAGAAACTGATATAAGATGTTACAGTCTCTGTGAGCTCGTCCAGATCGGTGGCAGCAGCTTCAAAGACGCTCCAATCAGTGAGGTCAAAACAAGCTTGTAAATCCTGCTCTGCTTCATTAGTCCATCTTTTTACAGACCTTAATACAGGTTTAGCTGATTTCAGTTTCTGCCTGTAGGTCGGTATAAGATGAACCAAGCAGTGATCAGAGAGCCCCAAAGCTGCTCGTGGAACAGAGTGATATGCATTCTTTATTGTGGTGTAACAGTGATCCAATATATTACTGTCTCTGGTGGGACATATGATGTGCTGTCTGTATTTTGGCAGTTCACGGGAGAGATTGGCTTTATTAAAGTCCCCGAGAATGATTAAAACAGAGTCCGGGTGTTGTTGTTCTGTGTCTGTGATCAGATCAGCGAGTTGTTGTAAAGCGGAGCTCACGTGCGCTTGCGGAGGAATGTACACACTGACGAGAATGAACGAGCAAAACTCCCGCGGCGAATAGAACGGCTTGCAGTTAATGAAGAGCACTTCTAGATCTGAACAGCACATCTTCTTTAACACAGTTACATCTGTAGACCACCTCTCTGATGTAAAAGCATGTCCCGCCGCTGCGCGATTTCCCAGTTGATTCTGCGTCAGGATCTGCTCTAAACAGCTGAAAGCCCGGCAGACTCAACGCGCTGTCCGGAATGGCGTCTTTCAGCCAGGTTTCCGTGAAATACAGAGCAGCAGAGTTTGAAAAATCCTTATTTGTCCGGGAGAGTAGAAGGAGCTCGTCTGTTTTGTTGGGTAGAGAGCGGAGGTTCGCCAGATGGATGCTAGGCAACTGTGTTCTGAATTCGCGCTGCCTGAGCTTCATGAGCGCGCCGGCTCGCTTCCCCCGTCTGCGCATCCTGAAGCACCTGATCAGCGCCGCAGCTCCCCCGACTACAATGTCCAGCAAAACATCAGAATAGTCGAAAACCGGTGAAATGTCAGGTGGTGTGTACTTCCGAATGTCCAGCAATTCGTCTCTGGTGAAACTGATTGCAGGGATATAACTAAAGACAGGACAAACTAACAAAAACATAAAAACAACTACGGAGCACGCCACGGAGGCAGCCATCAGCGTCGGCGCCATGAGTCCGGGTGTTGTTGTTCTGTCTCTGTGATCAGATCTGCGAGTTTCTGTAAAGCTGAGCTCACATGCGCTTGCGGAGGAATGTACACACTGACGAGAATGAATGAGCAAAACTCCCGCGGCGAATAGAATGGCTTACAGTCAATGAAGAGCACTTCTAGATCTGAACAGCACATCTTCTTTAACACAGTTACATCTGTAGACCACCTCTCTGATGTAAAAGCATGTCCCGCCGCTGCGCGATTTCCCAGTTGATTCTGCGTCAGGATCTGCTCTAAACAGCTGAAAGCCCGGCAGACTCAACGCGCTGTCCGGAATGGCGTCTTTCAGCCAGGTTTCCGTGAAATACAGAGCAGCAGAGTTTGAAAAATCCTTATTTGTCCGGGAGAGTAGAAGGAGCTCGTCTGTTTTGTTGGGTAGAGAGCGGAGGTTCGCCAGATGGATGCTAGGCAACTGTGTTCTGAATTCGCGCTGCCTGAGCTTCATGAGCGCGCCGGCTCGCTTCCCCCGTCTGCGCATCCTGAAGCACCTGATCAGCGCCGCAGCTCCCCCGACTACAATGTCCAGCAAAACATCAGAATAGTCGAAAACCGGTGAAATGTCAGGTGGTGTGTACTGCCAAATGTCCAGCAATTCGTCTCGGTGAAACTGATTGCAGAGATAAAACTAAAGACAGGACAAACTAGCAAAAACATCAATACAACTGCGGAGGATGCCACGGAAGCAGCCATCAGCGTCGGCGCCATCTTCGTACTGGCGCCGACATTTATGCATTACTGTGTCTCATTTGATGAGGACACGCGTGGCCTCAGACCTGAAAGTGCTGATCTGAAGATGATCTACTTACTGTGATTGTTTTTTGTGTGTCTGTGTAGAGAAGATGATTGATTGAAACACTTCCCACATGCAGTGCAGTGATATGGTTTCTCTCCAGTGTGGATCCTCTCGTGTGTTTTCTGATTTGCTGACTGACTGAATCTCTTTCCCCCGTCTGCGCATCCTGAAGCACTTGATCAGCGCCGCAGCTCCCCCGACTACAATGTCCAGCAAAACATCAGAATAGTCGAAAACCGGTGAAATGTCAGGTGGTGTGTACTGCCAAATGTCCAGCAATTCGTCTCCGGTGAAACTGATTGCAGAGATAAAACTAAAGACAGGACAAACTAGCAAAAACATAAATACAACTGCGGAGGATGCCACGGAGGCAGCCATCAGCGTCGGCGCCATCTTCGTACTGGCGCCGACATTTATGCATTATTGTGTCTCATTTGATGAGGACACGCGTGGCCTCAGACCTGAAAGTGCTGATCTGAAGATGATCTACTTACTGTGATTGTTTTTTGTGTGTCTGTGTAGAGAAGATGATTGATTGAAACACTTCCCACATGCAGTGCAGTGATATGGTTTCTCTCCAGTGTGGATCCTCTCGTGTGTTTTCTGATTTGCTGACTGACTGAATCTCTTGTCACAGTGTGAACACTTGTATGGTTTCTCTCCAGTGTGGATCCTCTCATGTGTTTTCAGGGCTCCTGACTGATTGAATCTCTTGTCACAGTGTGAACACTTGTATGGTTTCTCTCTGCTGTGGATCGTCTCGTGTGTTTTTAGGTCTCCTGAATCACTGAATCTATTGTCACAGTGTGAACACTTGTACGGTTTCTCTCCAGTGTGAATCCTCTCATGTGTTTTCAGAGCTCCTGACTGACTGAATCTCTTGTCACAGTGTGAACACTTGTATGGTTTCTCTCCAGTGTGGATCCTCTCATGTGTTTTCAGGGCTCCTGACTGATTGAATCTCTTGTCACAGTGTGAACATTTATATGGTTTCTCTCCAGTGTGAATCCTCTCATGTGTTTTCAGAGCTCCTGACTGACTGAATCTCTTGTCACAGTGTGAACACTTGAACGGTTTCTCTCCAGTGTGGATCCTCTCATGCAGTTTTAAACAGTTTGCTGAAGTAAAAGTCTTGTCACACTCAAAGCACATGTACTCTCTCACACCAGTATGTATTTTCTGATGTTCTTTCAAATATTGTAGATGTGAAAAACTCTTTCCACACAAATAACATAAA